GCATCACGCCTTTCGTACAAATTAATTTACGTAATCAGATTCTCGAAAAAAAGATCGTCCCATAGACTGTAGTCATTTATAATTTTCTTCTACTCCTCGAGAAGCTTTAAGTCTATTTTACATTAACTTTAAAATATTATGTTACATTTCATCTATCACAGCTTTTAACTTTAAGAAAGATGTTTCTCTTTTATTACCTAGTTGGTCTTTACTTATATCTGTGTTTATTGTCTCCTTTATTAATCCAAATTATCGTGGCACTCTTCCATTTAACTGTGCATTTCTCTTCGCAGTATATGAATCGTTCAAGCGAACGTTTCCTGGGCTTCAGCATGGAAGACGTTGCAGGGAAGTCGCTGTTAGAAGCGAACTCTGTGGATAACAGAGATTTGATGGTGCAGCAATTACAGCGGGGCCGGGAATGGGAAGGAGTCATATCCTGGAGGCGGAAGACGGGCGATTGCGTGGTTCTTAGTGGACGAGTCATTCCAGTCTACATTACGGGCAGGTTAGGGTTGTCTGTCGACACTCTTTACCTCGCATCTTTGAAGTATGACGTTAGGACCCTGATAGTGACTACCAGTTAACGAAGAAGGACTATTTTTTAAGGCGATAGTGGTGTGTGGTATGAGTCGTGATATTTTAGGTGCTGGGACCTGCGCAAATCGAGCTTAAGAAGGGTCGTTTAAGTGTTAAGTGCTATATACTGAATATGGTGGTAAACACACACCTTATGTTATGACTGAGAAAGATATGTTCACATCGGTTGCACTTTAAGACTGTGATCGTCTGTATGTCGTGTCAGAAAACGTGTTACGTAAGTGGCCTATCTCCTTTTACGTTTCAGGTCACCGACACATTACGTCTTCATACACGAGTCCCAGAGCGTGGCACTTGACAAGAGGATATCTGGGACTCTGGTCAAGAATCCCGAACTTCCAAAAGGGACAAATAATAGAAAGGGATCAGCTGACTTGAAGTCTATATCGAGTGATGGTATGCGTCTGTTATCTTTGTAAAAGGAGAAGACTTTAGCGGCTCATCCACGTACGAGTCTGGCTCGGCGAGCTTGACTCGTGAGCTGGGCTCAGATATATTTCACCGCGCATGCGTAGCAGACTCGGCTCGTGATACCCCCACCCACAAACGAGTTTGGCTCGATGGAACCCGAGCCGAGCCGGACTCGTACGTGGATGGGCCGCTTTTCACCCCGATTTGCAAGTGTGTTTTTTATTGGTTTTTGGAAGAATATTTTCAGAACAATCTTTTGGTTTTGTCATGTCTGTTTTGTGTACATTTAGCATGTGTGGGGGATATTATGAAATACAGGAAAAATTTTAATTAGGAAACCCGAAAGAAAGAGACTACTTGACGGACCTACATGTAGATAGGAGGACAGTATTAAATTGGGTCTTAAAAAATAGGGCACGATGACGTGGACTTTGTTCACCTGACTCGGGTTGTGAACGTGATGTTGCGTGACCTTTCAAGTTCCATAAAATGCCAAAATTTCTTCACTGAAGGAAAATGCTTCATGCAGATGGTTCATTGGTACATTTTAAGGATCGCTTTAACCTGAGAATTTAAAAGAAAATTGCTTATTATTTTTAGATCACTTATATTTTAAGTAAAAATTTATACGCCACGTCTGTTAGACGAGTATTAGGTCTACAATGGTTAAGTTACATTTATCTTAATTTAAACATGGCCCTAAATTCTTGTTTGATTTTACCCTGAAAATTGTTCATCCAAGAGAAAATGTGGATATAAAGCTGTTGGAACTAGAGTCCATAAAATAACACGTTTTGATTCATGAAGTTCGCTGGTTTGTGTTTTCAGGAATTATGTATTACATTCGTATACTTCAAATGTCGTCTTTCAGGTCTGCGCCGGCAAAGCATAGCGAAACTGCACAACCTCTCAATCGAAGCACCGATAACAAAAGTAATAGCACTGATTACATCTGTGCAAGAAAATGCAAGTCTTGAAGACATTCAAACTTTAGACAAGGTAATTAATTACATTTTAGGGTACTTGTGGTTTATCGGGACACATCGCTTTGAAAATACGTTAGGTTAGGTTAGTTTAGGTCAGGTTAGGTTAATGTGTGTGGATAAATGTATATATACTTAAAAGTTATTATATTTCTTTTCAATACATGACAAATTATTATATTTTATTTGAATATGCATGAAATGTTAATTGTTGTTACAACCTGTCTCCGGAGGCTAAAATTCGCTTATAGATTTTAGAATTGTTTTAAAAATATCGCCATTATCATTTGTATGCCAAAACTTATGTGATTCTCAATTTATATATTGTATTTTTGTTAAATGTCATGTGATTATTTAACATTACGTTGTTTTCTTTGAGTATTTTCTTGGATTGCATTTATTAAGTTACGATTGTCGAATCTGTCACGCGTTAATTTAAGCTTGGATAACTCGTTCAGTAAACTTCGTGGCTATACGGCTGAGATTTCAACAGCAGTCACAGATTAGTTTTAAACCTGTTCTGATTATATAATTCGTTTTGACCATCTCTTCCTTGGTCTACCAATTGATTTTCTTCCTCTAGTGTCGTATTCCTGTCTTTGTAAATTGTATTGTGTGCTGCTCCGTATGGGAGATACGTAGAGTACTTATGTACTGTATTCTTGATTAAAATTCACCAGGTAATAGATATTCTTCGCACCACGGAGCTGTACTCGCCACAGCTGAAGGACGACAAAGGCAAACCGGGAGACCCAGTAACGAACGATTTGATCGGGGCTTTGCTGTCGGTAAGTAGAACGGTCTCGTAGTAGAGGCAGAACTGTATTTTATAAAGGATTCCAAGTATTTCTGTTAATTTAATATGCGTATGACTCGAAGGGTCATCCATGCACTTCTTAAGAACAATTTTAACAATTTTAAAACTGAAGGAGGTGATTTAGAGGTCTGGGATACGAATAATAATTGTTTGTAACAGAGTGGCCCAGCTGTAACTCCCTTCGCTCGGCGTAGTTCAAGTGACTCGGGTTCGGTTTCGAGAATCGGGTTATCGAGAAGTACGTTCAAGCCAGTCAATATGTCTCATCAGATGAAGGAGCTCTTGGATACGTCTCTGCTGTGGGATTTTGATATATTCAAACTTGAGGAACTCTCCTCTAAAAGGTAAGACTTCATCGGGTCCGCGGCACGAATAGACCATTCAGTCGATTCAATTGAATTCTGCTGAAGCTGGTTTGAATTCCACGGTTTATGTATTTTTGTGTCTGATTAACGGATTAATAGAATTTTTATGCGTGTTTTGGTTTAGACAGAGGGACCTTTACTTTAATTTCTATGTCTTCAGGCCACTTGTGTATCTGGGAATGAATCTGATGAATCATTTTGATGTCTCGTCGTCATTGGGATGTGATGAGAATGTCTTGCACAATTGGCTTGTGATCATTGAGATGAACTACAATTCCAAGAACTCGTATCACACGTCAACACACGCCGCCGATGTCATGCAAGCCACCGCTGGCTTTCTAGAGCGGGAGCGATTAAAGCAGATTCTTGATCCTCTGGATGAAGCTGTGTGTCTGGTAGCTGCAGCTGCTCACGATGTAGATCATCCAGGAAAGTCAAGGTTCGTATAAGCGGCGATTTGTATTTTTCGTCATATCGTAATGGTTACCACTTCTGCTCTGCGGTGTTGAGGATCGAAAGCTAAAAGACCAATGCACGCCATCTCTTAACTAAAACTGGAACCATCTTTCTTTTATGTACCCATGATTCTGTTTAATAAAACATGTGAGTGTGTAATGGCAAAAATGGCGACTTCACTTCAGTCCACGACATTGGGAGGCCGTGAGTTGAATTTTGAACCCAGTGGTTGTCTGTTGTAAGTGAATTTCTCATAATCTTAGGAAGCTTGTAGTTACTTATGTGTTAATTTCTGTTTTAGCGCTTTCCTCTGTAATTCCAACCACGAGCTGGCTATATTATACAATGACTTGTGTGTGTTGGAGTCCCATCACTCGGCTCTGGCCTTCAAGTTAACGATGTCAGATGATCGAGTCAACATTTTTAAATGTAAGGTAAACCATCGTATGCTCTGTTGCTTGAATTTTTTATGACTGTTTCATGACGGTATAATGCAATAACAATTCTTCGTGTTATACACCAGGATTTGTTTACTGATTTGTTGACAAACACAAATAAACATATAACAATGTTGTACTACCCATTATCATATATACATTATCAGTCGGTTTATTTACATGCCATATAATTACATGTATTCGTGTTCTGTCAGCCAGTAACAATTTCTTTAAAATTGATTTGCATAAGCATTTGAAACAGTTATGTACTAATTAATCCTTTGATGAATGCGCATTTATGTATATTTTATTTAATGTAACATTTATATTTGCTTGATTTTGTGATTCATTATCAGTGAAAGTAATTTGATATTGTAAGGCTTTAAGTTCTTAAATAAAAAATTACTAGACAATTAAACGATCAACTTCCTTGCAATGTTTTCATTTTTTGTTTTCAGGTTTAGAACGGGATGTGTACAAAGCAGTTCGTCAGAACGTTATTGACATGATACTTGCGACGGAGATGACGAGACACTTCGAACATCTGGCAAAGTTTGTCAATGTTTTCTCAATCAAGAAAGAAGATGACAGCCCAGATGTAAGAATATATTTTTGAAGAAATTTCTGTCTGTTAAATGGTAATTTTAAATTAGTGTGAAATTAATAGTCTTTTCTTTGCGCAATACGGCCACCTTCGACACCTGCGGAAATTATTATTATTATTGTGTAACACCAGATTTATAATTCGTCATTGAGATTGAACCCGGGACATTTTGAATGGTAGGTCCTGGGATTTTTATTCTGTCGTGCTGTTTTTGTCGTAGGGTGGACGAAGTTCTCCAGATATTGGTGTATTGACTGCTCCCGAGAATATAACGCTGATCAAGCGAATGCTCATAAAGTGTGCGGATGTGTCGAATCCGACTCGTCCCGTCAGAATGTGCGTGGAATGGGCTGTCAGAATTGCTGAAGAATACTTCAATCAGGTATTTTTATTTCTTGAAATATGAATTCTTTTTACTGTTTTGGATATAAATTTTATAAAATTGAGGGTTCTGTTTGTTATTCTTACGTCTACACATGTATGAGATTTGTTGATTAATTAAAACCAGTTATAATTACAGAGTTCATATATTTGGAAACGACAATCACAAATCAAAATGACACTCATGAGGAAGTTAGGAGGACACTAAATTCCGGAAATGCTTGCTACTTCTCAGTTCAAAATATTTTGTCTTCCTGTCTGATTTCTAAGAACCTGAAAATTAAAGTATACAAAACAATAATTTTGCCTGTTGTTTTGTACAGGTGCGAAACATGGTCTCTCACTCTGAGGGAGGAACATAGATTGCAGGTGTTTGAGAACAGGGTGTTGAGGAGGATATTTGGGCCTAGGAGAGAAGAGGATGGGGTATGGAGAAAACTGCATAATGATGAGCTTTAAAATTTGTATTCCTCCCCCAATATTGTCAGGGTCATTAAGTCAAGAAGAATGAGATGGGTGGGTCATGTGTCATGTGGATGGGGCAAGATATGTTTATCGGGTATTGGTCGGGAAGTCTGAGGGGAAGAGACCTCTGGGGAGACATAGATAGGAGGATAATATCAGGTGGGATCTATCAGAGATAGGAGTTGAAGGAGACTGGATTTTGTTGGCCCAGGACAGGGTCCAGTGGAGGGCTTTGGTTAATTCAGTGATGAACCTTCAGGTTTTGTGAGCCATATAGTTAGTTAGTTAGTTAGTTATGAGACTGATTTGCTGGGTGTCTTGTGAGACGGCGGATTTTGGTCTTCGCCGAGCCGCGCGTGAGATATGACCAGAATTGTGACTGAAACTTTCTCATTTTTCCAAAGACAGATGAAGAGAAGGAGAACCACCTACCTGTTGTGATGCCGCTGTTTGACCGTGCGACGTGCTCAATACCTAAATCCCAAATAGGATTTATGGATTTTATCATCAATGACATGTTTGAGACATGGGAAGGTTTGTTATTTATTTTGCTTTGTTATTTTGTTGTCCTGTTGTGACATTGTAAATTGGTTTAATTTTCTGTTACTGATTTTCTTATCTTATCCACAGCATTCATAGAAATGCCAGAGTTATTGCAGAACATGCAACATAACTACAAATTCTGGAAAGAGAAGGAGAAATTCGGCATTCACCGAATACAAGACGTAATCACGATGCAGCGCACGTGGAAAGACTGACTCATAGACGTCATTTCTGTGTTCGTGTACATGTGCGTGAATGTAAGTTATTGTGATGTGGATTTTAAGTTTGCGTGTGAAATTTTTGAATGTGATAGCTACGCCATCCCCCCAAGAGCCAATGTTGATTCTTCCGACGCCGATTGCCAGAAATATAAATTAACGGTGTACGGTGTAACCGATTGTAAAATGACTGAATATGTTTATTTTTAATGTTAAACTTTGAAATAAAAAAAAATTACATTTAAGTGTTTCTGACATGTAACTTGCAATTCTATCCGACAGGTGTTTAAATGGTCTGTTGTGTCGTTTTTGACGGATCGTTATGTTGTTTTCTGGCCAAAGGAAAAGGTACGTTCTAATATGTATGACGTAAGTGAATTATCTTTGAATTTGGTGGTACAGAAAATGACAAGGTTTTAAATTATTAAAATTAATCTAGACAGATTTAAGATAAAATGTTTCTATGTTATGTTTGACCATTTATTCCATTCTCAGCAAAAGTGTAAGAGATTCATCGAGACTTTTCACTTATACTGATTTATGTTGATCGGTAATTATGTCGTCACGATGGTATTTATGGTTGTCGTCACACGAGAAATGTAAGTGGAGATTGAAACATTTTGTCTGAAAGAGTAACAGACGAGAAACTGTGAAAAGCGAGTTACCGAGGTGGACGAACTACTAGTACAAATGCAACTTTATTTGAAATTCTAACCTTAGTTTAAACTTGTATTCTGTATAGATGTATTATGTTTACCTGGTAAAAGAGATAGCCACAGTTTACCAATGGGTGGAATGTTGCAACACTTAAAAACAAAATGGGTACTTGTGGGTTATTGGGACACATTGCTTTAAAAAAGCTTAGGTTAGGTTAATGTGTGTGGATAACTTATATCTTAATTGCATCATGCTTGTGTTCCTCAATATAATAATTTTATTTTCCGTCTTTACACAAGCTTATAGATTGTTAAAATCACATAAAATTATAACATTTCAACATTTTTGATATTGTTACATTTTAAAATGACGACATGTTTCGATGTTCAATTCCATCATCGTCAGGTCTATCAATCAAAATTAAAATTAAAACTGTTGTATCTGCTGCTCTGCGTATACTGATTTTGTTTCTACCCGTTTAGATTTTATTTGTTTAATCTCCAGGCTTCTTCCATTTAATTTTGGAGGCTGCGCCTGGGTGCCTTATATCGGGTTGTGTGTGAGGTGCGTGTCCGATGTTACGGAATGGCAGACAGCTGTCTGCCATTCCGTAACATCGAAACATGTCGTCATTTTAAAATGTAACAATATCAAAAATGTTGAAATGTTATAATTTTATGTGATTTTAACAATCTATAAGCTTGTGTAAAGACGGAAAATAAAATTATTATAGTGTGTGGATAAATTACATATTCTTGAAAGTTAACCTAACCTGACCTAACCTAACCTAACCTAACTTAACTTATTTTTAAAGCGATGTTTCCCGATAACCCACAAGTACCACAAAATGTTTCAGTCTTCATCTTGAATGTATTGTATGTTATAAGAAGCTTATATGTGAAACCAAAGAGATATTTTCTAAATGTTGGCATCTCAGAATTTGGTCCTCGATTATGAAATAAGTACAGTAATAGAATGTTTGGATGTTTACTTTATGACATTACAGTGCTTTATTTCAGAATGGAACTTGCAGTTCTTTTCATTCAGCAGTCTGCCTTCATTAATTCACCCAGGATGATAATATTTCGCTGGTGTATGTCATCACTTTTACGAAGTAAAAGTTCGTATTAAAAATTCAAAGTATTTTCTTAAACGTATCTCCACTAATATGAATCATATTGGGGACTACTGGGAACGACCCATTCTTCAAGTGCCTGAGCACTGCGAGTCCCAAACTTTTCATTGGACTGATCTATAGACATTCGGTAGGACTCTTTGGACGAGGGATCGGTCTGTCGCAAGGCCTCTACCTGTACACAGGACAACACATAGACAATCATCCATGGCTTGAGTGGGATTCGAACCCACGGTCCCAGCGGCACAAGGCTGCGCCTCAGACAGCGCGGCCACTGCAGACCCCAATATGAATCGTACTTAATTCAATATGAAATTTTGATACTAAAGTGAACCCTACAAGGCAGGGAGAGAAGGAAGGGTAGGACAAGAATTGCATGGAAAAGAAAAATCTTAGTGGAACTGGAAGAAGAAAATGTATCTTGGAAGGAATTTGTTTTGGCCCAATGTTCCACCTAGGAATAACAGGAAATGATGAAAGTGGAACACAACTTTATCTTTTGTTCAGGCAAATGGAAGGAATATTCAGTTATACAGAATGAAAATATTTAACAGTAGTAATAAAATGTTATTTTTAGCTTGTGCCATGTTGACACTTGTCTCATTGCCATACATTTTGAACTACAGATAGCATAATTAAATAAACGATTAGTCAATAAATCAAACATTTCTTGGGTTCTCAAGTGGCAGTGGATCAGAAAATTATTTTTTTTTAAATTTATCAAAGTAGTGCTGACTTGTGGAATATAATTTATTGACCCAAACAAAATAACCAGCAAACTGACTACATGGAGCAGGGTCCTTCTTAAGAAGGTAATATTGCTTAGCTAGTCAAGAAATTTTCAATGTATATGTTGCAGAAACTGAATGTTTATTACTGTGCTCACCATCTG